ATGCTCACCTGTTCCTTTGTAATATAACCCCTTGCCCTGTTTAGGGTAGAATCTTCCATGGAAGTGCCTTGTGTGTCCCCTTCTCTTACTGTGCCCTTGGGTGTGGCCTACCCAGGTGTCAGTCAACCTGCTGACAGTGGACATCATGAAGATAGACTCAGCCCCCTGAAACCCGACCCCTTGCCTCTTGCCTCAGTTGAATAGCTTCTCCTCAATAAAAGGGGTCAGCGCGCGTGCGTGCGTGCGTGCGTGCGCTCTCTCTCTCTCTCTTTCTGCAGACCCTTAAGGTCAGAGGAGCCGTCACAGCGACCCCAAATTTGGGGTATTTGTGTCTCTTGTGTGGTTATTTCGTGCAGCCCAGTTAGCCCAGTTTAACTAGAGTAACCCCTGAGCCTTTTAGTCGCGAGAACAGAAACCCGGCAAGCAACCTCAGCCTGAAACAGAAATAGCCTTTGGACATTAGTTCAGACTTGTTCACAAACAACTGAATGGCCAAACTGAAACACTGATATTAACCAAAGGACTAAATTGATATCAGTGTTTTCTCCAGCACTAAATGCTCTGAGAAAACTGAAGGAACATCAAAAGATTTTAAGGGAAAATATTTTGACATGAATATAATGCTGAGTTTTTTAGATTTTTCATGAATGATCACACGTCAAGGTGGAGATGTTCACTACCTACTTCCTCATCAGAAGGATAACATGGAAAGACAGAGTTACAGGACGGCTAACAGTCATGATCTTGTCTTCCAGCTGCAACTGACTGTTCAGAACACTGTTCTAAGGATTGCGCTGGTCTATACAATCTCAGCACCTGGGTTCATTAGTAACATCAGCCACAGGCCCCTGTCCCATATGCTAATCCCCCATGCCTACAGAGAAAGGAGTGTGGAGGTCAGGACCCCCCTCTTTTTTTAAAAATTTTGAGACAAGGTCTTACTAAGTTGCCCAGGCTGGCTTGGACTTGTCATCCTCTTGCTTCAGCCTCCCAAGATGCTGGGATCACAGGAATGTGTCACCATGCCAAGCTTGTATAAAATTTTCAGTTTGTGTGTGTGTGTGTGTGTGTATGTGTATGTGTATGTGTGTGTAGTATAATCTCTGTGTTGGGTACATGTGTGTGTCTGTGTGTATGTATGTTTCTGGGGATTGAACCCATGGCCTCGCACATGCTAAGCAAGGGTTCTACCACTGAGCTACATTGCCAGCCTCTATTGTATAGTTTCTGAAACACCAATTCCAATTTTGAATATTTAATTAATGAAATGAATCAAATAAATCTAGAGTTGCAAATGGCCTGATGTCTCTGGTGGAGTATGTATTTTTAAAATGTATAATAATGTCATAGTAAATACATATCAACCAGCAAAAAATCAAAATGAAGATTGTTATAAATCCAGACTGAGACTCAATCTTCCCTCAGTGCATTAAATGCCCCCCAAACAAAGGAAAGTGCCAGAGGACTCATGCAGTTTACCTCTAGAGTGTTATTACTCTTTTACTGTTGAATTAAACTTTATGCTTTATTTGGATTATATTGATTTTCTTATTAATGTCCTTTTCCCCATTCCAGGATCCCATCCAACACATCCAACATTTAGTTGTCCTGTGTCCTTAATTTCCTCTAGGAAATCCCTGAATTTTAATCAGGGCTTAGCCATCTGCCATTGGCTGTGATTTCTGCCAAAGACCCTAGACCACCACCCCTGTGGTAGGTTGAGAACACTCACCCCGGATCCTGGTTCCTGGGGCCTTGATCTGCTGATGGGTGCAGCACTGATTTCTGTGGTGTCCTCTTCCTCCTCCTCACAGGACAGTCTCTGCAGCTGAGCTATCCCCAGAAAGGTACACTTGTGGCCTGGTGGGGACAGTGCCAGCAGGGGCTATAGCAAATGGGCCCATCTGTTAGTTCTGCCCTTAGCATACGCCCAGACTTGTTGCCTTTGCAGTCACTATGGGGTGACTGACCTCTTGACTAAGTGGCCTTAAATGGCAAGCAGGCTCCACCTGCCTTTCACAGTCTGAAGAAAGAATCAGGAGCTCAGTGCGTTCCATCATAGTGGAGGGCCCCCTCCAGGCCTGTGTTTCTCATTATTGTCAATCTTTAACTAAAGAGCAGGAGTCAAGGCTGGCTTTTTATAGCCTTTGCTTTCTCATAGTGAAGGTCATGCATCATGTGAATTCCTTGAAAGGAGCTATAAAATCAGACCTTTAGAGGGTGAGGTTGGGGAAGACTGTGTGATCACAGAGGAGGAGCAGGAGCAGGCTTGACACCTTGGGGGGGGGAGCAGGAGTCAGGTGCTCCCCTTACCAGGCCAGACCCATTTAATTCTGACAGTCAGTGGACCCTGGGCTTTTCTACCCAGTGTCTCTGCATCTCCAGCAACCATTATCATTGGCTCAGAAAGGGGTTTTCATTTCATAAATGCAGAAATAGAGGCTGAGTGAGGTTGAGTGTCAAGCCGAAGTTCCTTTATGAGTTAAGCTGTGGTCAGCAGTGTGGATGACAGCATGGCGCAGAGGGAAAGAGACTCAACCAGGAACCTGAGGGCAGCATGGAACCCTAGCTCCTTACCACTCTGTAACACATTCATTCATTCATTCACTCAGGAAATATTACTTAAACACCTACTGGGTGTATACAGGGTAAACTAGACAGGCGAGGACACTGCTGTCTTGGAGCTCAAACTCCAGGGGAGATAGGCAAAGTAAGACATAAACGAGATAACTGCAGTTAGTGATAGTTTCTGTGACGTTTAAACAACATAATGATCTAGAAAGAGATGGGGTGGGGAGCTATGATTACTATATTACTATACTAAAAAATGAACACTGAGTTAACCATGCAAAGACCTAGGATAGCAGGTGCAAAGACACTGAAGAAATTATGAGCTTAATGAGCTGGAGAAACAGTGGCCCAGGGGCTAAAGCCCGGTGATGAGGAGAAATGGCTTGAGGATCCTTCAAAAATTCTTTCTCTGGCTCTCTCCCTGCTTCTCTCTGTATTATAACAGGGACAGAAAGGCTGACTTTGCTAAAAGCAATGACTCTTCATTTAGGCCTGCAGATGTCTAGTGGGTAACTGAAAGCAGGATAAAACTTGTCATCTCCGCTTCATTTTATGTTTGTCTTCAGGTCTCTGCTCAGCTCTGCATAGAGGTATATTAATAATTTAAGGAGGGTTCATCTGAAAACTAGAAATATAAATTTCATTAGCCCTAAATTTACCTAACCTATCTTGCCCCTTTTCAAAACTGAGGCAAAATTTGTAGCATCCTGTTTCAGACCATTGGAGTGAACCTGAAAGAAGTCTTTAGTTGTCCTACACTTTCCAGGAATGGTAGGAGGCAGCACATCACCCCTCTATGAGATGGACCCCCTAAACAGGAACAATCAGCAATCATCTCATGAGAACTGAATTGCCCCCTCCCAGGATCACAGGTCTGTTACATAAACATGCTAAGTAACAAACAGAAAGTCCCTCAAGCAAGAACTCAAAAGTCACCTCACAGAACCGAACTGAGAGAATATCAATCAGACCACAGTTTGACCAAGACTGACTAATTATACACACCTCTCATTCCCATCCAACTCTTCCTCTTCTTAAAACTACAGTTCAGACCAGGTTGGTGGTGCAGGACTGTAATCTCAGCAACTCAAGATTCTGAGGAAGGAGTTTCAGAAATTGGAGGCCAGCCTCAGCAACTTAGTGAGAATTTATCTCAAAATAGAAAATAAAAGAGATGGGGATGTAATCCACAGGTAAAGCATCCCTGGGTTCTATCTGCAGGATTTCAAAAACAAAATGAAACAAACAAACAGAAAAGCACAATTCAGCTGGTTGTGGTGGTGCATGCCTGTAATTCTGGCTATTTAGGAGGCTGAAGCAGGAGTTTTGCAAGCTCAAGTTCAACCTGGAAAAATATATTTTTAAATATTTAAAATATTTTTTAAAATATTTGAGCAGGGCTGGGTTGTGGCTCAGAGGTAGAGTGCTTGCCTAGCATGTGTGAGGCACTGGGTTTGATCCTCAGCACCACATAAAAATAAAATAAAGATATTATGTCCACCTATAACTAAAAAAATGTTTTTTTAAAAAAATATTTGAGCAAGGTGTGGTGATGCAGCCTGTAATCTCAGTAGCTTGGGAGGCTGAGACAGGAGAATCATGAGTTCAAAGCCAGCCTAAGCAACTGCAAGGTGCTAAAGCAACTCAATGAGACCCTGTCTCTAAATAAAATACAAAGTAGGGCTGGGGATGTGGTTCAGTTGTCAAGTGCTCCTGAGTTCAATCCCTGGTACCCAAAAATAAATATTTGAAATATATTTTTAGTTGTCCATGGACCTTTATTTTTGTTTATTTATATGTGGTGCTGGGAATCAAACCCAGTGCCTCATTACATGCTGGGCAAGCACTCTATCCCTGAGCCGCAACTCCAGCCCCTGAATCATGTTTTTGTAAGAACATTTCAACCCCTCCACTTCTTACATCTGCCTGGACACATATATAATGGCTCAAAGGACATTTTAGGGCTGAGGTCATTGAATAATAATCAATGGGACAAATCTGACCTGCAGCATATTTTTTTATAAATAACGTTTTATTGGAACATGCCAGACCCATTTGTTTACATAGTATCTATAATTGCTTTATTGCTACATTAGCAGAATCTATCAGTTGTGATACTGATTATAGGTCCACAAAGCTGAAATATTTAGTATTTGGCTCTTTACAGAAAAAGCTTGCCCACCCAGAAGACAAGATAGGAGAAATTGGGGTTTTTGAGAGATCTCATGGAGCTGAGCAGTCTATTTTCCCCTGGGCCACCTGTCCACTTCTGGAATGCTATGGGAGAAAAAATTGTGGGGATCTCTGTTACAGAAATGTAGACTAGATTATAATGTAACAAATATATGCACCACCCATGCTCAATAACTTGGCTGAATAAGTGAAGAACCTCTAGTCTTTCCATCCTTGCCTCTGACTAGCTGTGTGACCTTGAGCTAGTAGTCATTTAGATAGAAATTCCTTCCTTCCTTTCTTCCTTCCCTCCCTCCCTTCCCCTTTCCTTCTTTCCTTCTGTCCCTCTTGTATTTCACTATGTCTTTCAGGCTGATTTGAAACTTGTGATATCAAGTGATCTGCTTGCCTCAGCCTCCTAAGTAACTGGGACTCCAAGCAAGCACCAGACCTCAATTTCTTATCCATCTAAATAAAGTTTTATTTTTGAAAAAAATATTTTTTAGTTGTTGATGGACTTTTATTTTTGCTTATTTGTATGTGATTCTGAGAATTGAACCCAGTGCCTCACGCATGCTAGGCAAGCGTGCTACCGCTGAGCCACAACCCCAGCCCCAAATAATGTTTTATAAGGACTAAGAAGAGAACGTATTTTAGAAATTATTATCAGTAGGGGGCAATTGTGTCATGACAATGTCCAGGCACCCTTTAAACTTGGAAGTTTTTCAGCTGGGACCAAGCAGTTACCTTTTCTACTCAATAAGGTAAAAACCCACAAGGAAGAACTTTTTCCTTGTGGAAATACATTCTGAGCTGTCCAGGGTCCTGATCCCCTCAGCTGGGGCATTTTAACCTCAGCCCAGGGATTAGGGTCCGGTAAAGTCCTGTCCTGAACTCTAGGGTCCAAGGGGAAGCATATTCTTGCTTCTCATCCTCCTACCTCGCCATAGTAAAGGCATAAAACCTGCTAAAACTTCAAGGTGGTGGATGCTGCTTTGTACTTCTAGATCTAGTTGTTCTGCTCTTCAGAGTAGCTGTTCACTGTCAGCTGATGCCAGGAGGGGCGGAAAGGTCCCTGATTAGCTGTAGGTTCTTGTGTGGGTGTTACTGGGGATTGACTCTGGGGTGCTGTAAAGTTGAGCTTCATTCCCAGCCCTTTTGATTTTTTTCTTTTGAGACAAGTTCTCACTAAATTGCTGATGCTGGCCTCAAACTCCAGATCCTCCTGCCTCAGCCTCCAGAGTAGCTGGGATTACAGGTGTAAGCCACCATCTGGTGAAGGCGTTTCTGCACCCGCTGTCTGACAGGGTAACAGCATGGCGGTTGCTGTGGCAGACCGCACCATCTGGAAACTGGAACCATTAGGAATGTTAAGTGTTTTGTTTATGATACTCATGATATGGATAACAGGGCATATATCAACCAATAATAAAAATACGTATTGCCTGAGATTTCAGGAAAATTCCCAGAATGAACTAAGGATACAATGGAGACATGCCATGAGGTGCGTTTCGATATCTCTCAGGATACGAACAATGGTATTATTCCTCAAGTCTAAGCAACAAGAAATATTTATCCCATGGTTAACAATTTACACTAGCCCCCCCCACCCCACCCTAAAGCCACAACCTATACAGTAGCCTAGCTACAGAAAAACAATTGCTGTGTCAACAGTACAAGGACCACCGTATGTAGCTTATGGTATCCCCTCAAGGACAAGAGGATAATAAAAATACATTCCCCAACCAATAGACCCTCCTTTGCTTTACACAGAAACTTATGATGGAAAACACAGTTAATATAAATGACAAATGAGTTGAGGTATAAAGTCTGCCCTTTAGTTAAAGATTACAAATACATAAGAATTGGTGTGCTTTGACCAAGGATCAAGAAAATTCTTTAAGAAAGCAGTTGAATAGGTCATATGAAAAAAGGAAATTACCTTGGAAATTAAAAATAGAATAATGTAAAATTAACATAGATATATTTTAGAGGCACTTCAGAATAGTAGGCTTTTAAATAATAGACTTTCACTACTTTAAGTGTGTTTTACTAGGATTTTAGTTTAGAAGTAAGAAAGCTTACCAATAATTATAAGTATGCTTTAAAGTTAAAGGTTAATGAAATAATTATAGATATGCTTTAAAGTTAGAAGTGAATAATAGGTCAGAAGTCATGTAGTCTAGTTACATCTCCTAGCACCTAGTGATTGAGGTGAAAACGTAAAAGCTTAATTATGAATTGTCTAAGTTTACAGAAAAATATTTTGAACAATGTACTGAATATCTTAGGTAATCAATGTATGTCAGAAAAGATTGTAATTCTTCAAAAT